CAATAACAATATCGAGAAATAAATTAACAGTGATAGCAGTGAAATAAATAGCGCAGTGAATAGTGATATATCAACAGTAGTGTAAATAAATGGAATAATTCACAACCAAAGTTTAGTAATAATTTAATAGTGTTTTTAAGTTCTTTAATAATTAGTGTAAATAAATAGTTTTTGTCGTTATCAGCCTTAGAAGTTAATTTTTTTAAACCCACGAACATTACAATATCTATCTAGTAACTTGATATGATATGATATTCAAATCACTCATTCATTCCTAAAAACGAAATACATAATTTCCTTCCTTTAATAACTAAGAGACTCAAGCGGAAAGTAACGTGTTTCTTTCAATTCCTGTCGTGTTTATGGCCGGCTGACCGACAATATCGATGGTCTTGGTTCACAACGAAATTTTTATTGCCAGCTTACGATCATTCTCCACCAACACAACCAATTATTTCGTTTCTGCGCGTCTTATTTCACCGTTTTGCCGACTACGACGACCCCCACGCGACCCTGACGGGGGCCCTAACCGAATTCCCGTCTCCTTTTCGTGGAAAAATGAGCCGTTTTATACAAAATAAACTGGAAGAGAGCTTTTGCCGTTCCAGACGAACAAACGACCGAATGTCGTGCGTACCAACAATCGATCCGAACGTTTCTTCTGATAAATTATTCACGCCACTTCTACCAACACCGTTAAGTGTTTTTGGATTGTATCGTAAGTCGCTGGTAGGTACATATATAAAACTACATGGGTATTGTATCTCTTTTTTTATATGTAGGTTCTTTTTTTACACTTGTAATTCGACTAAAGAACACCCGTATGGCTGAAACGACGTACTGTCGTCGAGGTTTGCTTCCGGATGCGTCGCACACACGCTTCCGGAAACAATTTCAATGTAAAGCCTTCCGGAAAGGAAAACAATCCTGATAGTTGTTTGTTAGCGGTCGGTCTCCATTCTTTTGTTTGATATTAGAATAGATTACTGGTCACGATAGGAACCCCTTTTGTTTGTTTGATGTACTAAAAATAGCGAAATTAGTAGCTTTTTCAATTGTTTTTTAATTAAATACTTATACTATCTTATGCAAGTCATACCCAAGGCTCACAATTTGTGCTTTAGTGTAAACTCAACAATTAAAATGTTTGTTAATATATAGTCTTTCAAATTGTTAGATTTTACTCTGGAAATAACCTTTGGAACTAAGGATTTGCTCTGAAAATTATGGAGCTGCAGCAAGGGCTTCGCCAGACAATGGAAACGAAAAAGGAGGCACCGTAGATGTTGGACTACAACATAAAACGATTATAAAGCAATTGGGAGCTTTCACGGTAGATGTGGTATTTTATTTCATTTATTTATTGATATATTTATGTATTTATTTATTTAATTATTTATTTCTTAATGGCCTTTATTAAATGATACCGTTCAATACGAAATTAAAAGATAGATAAATATTTAAAACCTTATACCAATAGAAAGAACTTTTAATGTTGCAATGGACGGTATCATTTAATATGGGTCATTCCATTTGAAAAAGAAAGTTATTCATCTTATAAGTGTCAAAAGTAAAAAGTAGGTTTCAGTATTTCCGACTATGGACAACGTGTACATTATGTCCATAGTGATTTAAGTTTTATTTAAGTATCAAACATCAAAAGTATTGTAGTCTTGAGAATGGATGGAAGGTGGTTAAATAAAAACAAACACACAAGCGAATTAAAAGATCATCTGTAGGATATTAGCGCATCATTTGCCTAAATGATTCAGGAAAACCACAAAAACAACTTGGGGACAGATAGGGTTATATCGAAACAGTGTTCTCTCAAATGCTAAACCACGACCATGCTTCTCGAATTTGGGTGTCTTTATATCTATTTCGTTTAACGAATTTTACGTAGAATTACTATTATTTTTGAAGAACCAACACCGATGTTTCGCCTCTATTTCGGAGATTTTTTAAAGGCTACAGTGTTATAACATAGTAATGTAAAACATTTTATATTGCAAGTTCAGTTACTAGGTTCTTTAGTTATGTAAGAAAAGGTTCCAAACAGTTCGGTGCTTGTAACTGGTACATATTATTAAGATAAACATTGATTTAAACAGCACAATTATAAATAAAATACTAAATAATTAAGTAGTTAAAAACTAACGTTTACTATATTGAATAAAGAATCTACCAGATTTCCGCATATTTGTGAGCAGATGAGCTCTAACAATAAGGATATATGTATTGTATAATTATATTCATAAAATGAATTTACCTCGGTAACAATTGTTTCATCAAACCTTATCTTTAGGCGGATAGTTTGGTATAGTTGGGACGTTCAAAGTCGGCATAGTCCCCAATAAAACTGTCTAATTTACTTTATTCTTTCAACTTAAAAAATAGATTAGAGCGGTTGCTCACAGGACGCCTACTTTTACTCACGATGAACGTTGTCAAACCTGATCTATTACGTACCTAAGCAACCTCTAACTGCTGCACTGCTTACTATTATTCGATTATCTCATTTCATAAAATACTACAAATGGCGCGGTAAACGCGTGACCTTTAGTTTGACCCGCGCAAAATAGAAAAGAACAGCAGTAGGCCAGAAGAGAAAGGAGACAACTCTCAGCCAAACTCTTAACCGGTGAGGAGCGTATAATCTGTACAGTACTGCACGGAAAAATTGNTATATTCGTGTTGTTTCTAAGTCAATGTTAGTTTTTAACTAATCAATTGTTTATTATTTTATTTATAATTGTGCTGTTTAAATAATTGTTTCATCTTCATAAGGTCGTCAGTCCTATAACTGGTTCGACACGCACCTCCACTCCTTCCTATCCTGAGCTAATCGTCGCATTTCCCTAAAACTAGAACAACCCACATCCTTAACTATGTTAACTTAACTATAATCAATGTTTATATTAATATTATGTATCATATACAAGCACCGAACTATTTGGAACTTTATTTAACCTTCCATCCCTTAATTACCTTGAACCTTATTTAATATTTTTCAAATTAAGGGATGAAATGGAGAATATGCTCTCTATGATTCTCAAAAAAAGATATGAAAATATCTATATTGTAGCTAGCACGAGTGTGTAACCCTCGGCTATCCGCGGGCGCCTTTATTCATGTGCGCCGTATTTGTAAATGTGTGTGTCGTACCTGCGTTCTGGGAAAGCCGTTAAACAATTCAAAGAAAAAATAAACTATCCGGATGTTTCCAGATGGTCCCAGAAAGTAAACAAAAGAGTATTTAAAGGAAGAGACGATCGCCGAAAGGAAAAAGATATAAACTGACCGTTGCAGAAGTGAATCGAGAAGTAAATTGACAGTGATAGCAGTGAAATAAATAGCGCAGTGAATAGTGATATATCAACAGCAGTGTAAATAAATAGAGTAATTCATAACCTAAGTTTTGTAATAACTTAATAGTGTTTTTAAGTTCTTTAATAATTAGTGTAAATAAATAGTTTTTGTCGTTATCAGCCTTAGAAGTTAATTTTTTTAAACCCACGAACATTACAATATCTATCTAGTAACTTGATAT